ATTCCCGCACCTTACTAAGTCGTGGTCGTGCATTAGGATCTCATTCCCACGCGTTAATAAGGCGTGGCCACACATTATTTTTATTTATATGGGATGTCACCAGCAGGTCTCCGTACTTTTGCATAGGCTGTATGTTGTCATTATTGGAACAAAACCTTTCTCTCCATTTTTATTATTTATTTTAAAGCAAAATAAGTTCAAATGCAATGTTGCTTGCTGTCAACAGTGTTCACAAAATCCCTCTTTAAAAGCTGTACAGTGAGCGTAAAATTATACACAGTGAAAAGACGTAAATAATGAGCAAGTGGGCTAACAGCAATTTCAATTTCTGTTTTGCAACAAACGCTTACGGATGATTGTTTTCAGTTGCATATCGTTCATTGCTGATTGCTTGAAACAAACAGTGTAAGCATTCACTTATGGCCCCTGAACCACAACGGGCATGTATTTATTTATTTTTTTAAAAGCAATAATGATCCTGGTAGAAAAAAATCATCAGACATCACTGATGGCTTTGCTTCCAAAATAAAACCTGTGCACTTTATTATCCACTGAAGCACACATAATTCATTTGTATTCATTGATTGTGTTTATTATTTATTTAGTGTATTTATTATTTATTTGTTTGCAAGAATTATTATTTTATCAAGAACACGCTCATTGTGGTTCAGGGGCCATAAGTGGCTTATTAAACCATTTGGCATTTTGCTTCTAAACAGTTAAATATTGTTTTATTGTGTTTATAAATAGAGCAATCATTAAACGTTTCTCCTGACTAATCAAGTAGTCATTCTGTCTCATTGTTGCATACAAAATAATATGTAGAGTGTGGAATTGGGGCCCCCAAATAGAATGGGGCTTAGAGCCCCCCAGTGTTCAGAAATGATCCTTGTTCCTCAAACCATTTCAGAGCTTTGCTTCTACAGTACAAGCCTTTGCATACAGCCCATGTGTCAAACACAAGGCCCGCCGACGAGATCAGGCCTGCCACACAATCCTGTCCCGCCCGCAAAAGTATTTTAATTTTCTATTAATATTAGCTCATTTCACAATGGGCTGCACTACAGTCCCCAGCATGCACTGCAACGTAGTGTGCTCCGACTCTTCTACCGCAACAACAGTCTACGGGACAGCGGTTACACCTCAATTCTACACAATTCTGCGCAATGCCACACCAGTCATATCACCAAAATACATTTCAGCCGCGGCTCAACTGACATAAACAGTTAATGTGAGCTCAGCATCTCAGAAACTGAGCCCAAGTTTTAAAGAACTTGCAGCAAAGAAAGGATGCCAGGTGTCTAGTACAAGCATTTAGGTAGGTTTAAAAGACTGAGCTCCTGGGTCATTTAGATTTTGAATATTTCAAGTGTCCATGTAATATTTCAAGGTCGTGTGATCATCCAATACCTGCTCTGGCTAATCAGTACTTCATTATGATAAATTACATGTGCTGATGGAATTTATGGAACCACCTGGAAATCTGGAACCAAATTTGTTCTTCAAAGTACCTACATAAAAGAGTTCATCAAGGGCTCTTTAGTAAAATAAATGGTTCTATTTAGAACTATGAGTTCTTTTTAGAACCTTTTCCATGCTTAAATTGTTCTTTGCATGTTGAAACGGTTGACATCGTAACAAAAGCAGTGCTATACCATATTCAAAAAGGTTCTATATAGAGTCATATGCAACGTACTCTTCACTGATCTGAAGAACAATTTCACCATGTGAAGAACCATTTAAGCCTGAAAGAGTTCTATATAGAACTCATGGTACTAAATAGAACCATGAGTTCTATTTAGAACCTTTTCCATGCTTAAATAATTCTTTGCATTGTGAAATGTTCTTCAGATTGATGGAGAATGTGTTGTACATGATTTTATATGGCACCCAATTGGTTCTTCTATTGTTACAAGCTTGACATTGTAACAATAGCAGGGCCCTTTCTGGTGCTATATAGTACCATTTTCAAAAAAGGTTCTATATAGAGTTATATGCAACACGCTCTCCATTGATCTAAAGAACAATTTCACCATGTAAAGAACCATTTAAGCATGAAATAGTTCTATGTAGAACTTATGGAACCTTTTCCATGCTTAAATAATTCTTTGCACAGTGAGATGGATCTTCAGATTGATGGAGAATGTGTTGTATATGGTTCTGTTTCTTAAGGATGAACCCTTTGGGTGCTATATAGAACCATATTCAAAAATGCTGTATATAGAACCATCTGCAACACATTCTCTACTGATCTGAAGAACATTTTCACCATGGGACCATCCATTTAAGCATAAAATAGTTCTATATAGAACTCATGGTTCTAAACAGAGCAGGTCCCTTTACTAAAGAACCCTTAACCATCTATTTTAAGTGTATAGCTTTGAAAATAAGAAGTTACTGTTACTTTTTACAGCATTTCTGTATATTTATTCTAGCATTTTATGTTGTGTTTACAAGCATGAACATACTTTTATCCAGAAAATCGTTTTAAATTATGCCTAAAAATTTTACACAGTAGTTTGTGTTGGTGTTTTCAGACCTGGCCAAACGTATTAGCTACTTAAGAAGCTCCTCCTGATGTGACATGGAGGTGTTAGAGCACTAAAATGTGCTGACGAGGGGTTCTTAGACTTGGAAACCACTGCTACCAGGTAAAGCAGTGCTAGTAAATATATCACCCCATTGCATTTTGGATGCTTACAACACTAAACAACACTGTGCCCACAGAACTTATAACTGCAGTGTAATACAATGAGAACCTGTGTGATCAACTTTATTGGCTTTCTCAGAACAGAGTAGCAGATCAGTTACAGTAGTGATAACAGCGACCTCTGCAGGCGGCGAGGGCGTACATGATGGCAGGATCATGTTATCGTGTGAGTGTTTCAGACTGAGATGCATGGCTGTAAATAATCTATAATAGTGAAACTGTTATTCCAGAGAAACACCAGTGGGGTTCCTCTAAAGAGTGCTGATGGGGGGCCGGAGAAGAAATAGAAAAAGGAAGAAGAACTAGAAGTCTTCACGGAAAGCAGCGTTTCTCGATCACTCCACCTTACATTTCACATTTTAGTGCTTTCCTGATGATGATTTGCATATTGCTTCATGAAGAGTGAGTTAGAGCATAATAATGCTTGCAGGAATTTGATTGAGAAACACATACCAACCTTTCATTAGAGGCACCTACCTTGTCACTCACCTTTTAGTTCAGTTTCTGACCAGAGAGGCGCTCTCGGCTGGATATTTTTGGGTGGTGGACCACTGTCAACTTAGCAGCGATGGCATTCACCTGAAGAAACTCCAGCTATGCTCGATACACTCATACCAGGACCAAGCTCGTCTACCATGTCAGGGTCACTGCTGTGCTGAGAATGGTCCACTACCCATCGGTCCTGTGGTGGTCACTTTCCATTGATGAATGGGGCAGAAGGAGGCAGCAACAGATACATTCTGTAACAGTATACCTACAAAGTGCACCTAAATGCTGGGTGTTTCTGATAAAATGGCCAGTGAGTGTTGGTAGAAGGTAGAGGTTTCTGATAAACTGGCCACCCCAATCATTAACACTTCACTCCAGACCTTGATAGATCCCACAATCTGGTTGTGTTTTGCTACCTGCCACACCTGTTGGATAGCATCTACAGACCAGGGTGGTCATTTGCAAAGCAGGATTTCTCAGTTTAGCCAGATAAATTAAGCCCAAAGTCAAGCCTGTCCAATAGGAAAAGAGCTGAGGGGCATTCTTCTTGGACATTGTTCATCTTTGGGCTTAAGTTATGTGGCTAACTGAGAAATCCTGTTTTAAGAAATACCTCCCCGGGCTGGGTTTCCTGAAAGCATCTTAGTGCAGCATTATTAAGTGGTAGAGTGAGCATAATATTAAACACTCTCTCTACTAGTGAAGCTTATCTTAAAGGGAAATTTAAGCACCCACCGATTTAAGCACAATTCAATGATTACGAATGGTTAAATGATTCAGACTGGTTTGGTGTGAAATGCTCCATTCTGGAGAAACTTACTGAGTCAGAGTTGTTAACAGTGGTGGTGGTAGGAACCAGACGTCCACCTCTAAAAGCTCCCTCACAGAAAGTTATTACATGAAATGGTTATGAATATGTTGCCTGATGTCTGAGACATTGTTTTAAGACGGTTTTGAGGCCTTAAACGGTACCTGAGGAAACTTTTTCAGATTTATGGCAATTTTACCATCATCAGCGTTGCATATAAGACGTGTAGGTGGTTTTAGACAGTAAATAAAGTGGCTATATTTGTGTTGTAGACATGGTGACCCCTGGTTCCTGTCACCACCACTGTAAAGTAAGTCAGTAAGTGTGTCTACAATGAACCATTTCACATCACTCCACTCTGACTTCGCTCACATCTCAATGACTAAAATTATTAAGAAATTTTACAAATTTGGTGGAATTGCCTTTTAATAGTGTGACACTTTTGATAAACTGGTTTCAGGATGATAATTTCACAAAGCAGGAATTCTCAGTTTAGCCAGAAAGCTTCCTATTGGTCAATCCACAGCTTTGGGCTTAAACTATCTAGCTAACTCAGAGAACTACCTGGTTCAGGTGAGTCAGTATGAAAACATGGAATGGCTCTGACTGGACTGGAATGACCACCTGTAGATATCCCCCTGTTTTGAAGCAGGATGTGTCATTTCTATTAGAGTAATGTCTCTGAAAGGCTTCACCACGTCATCCTCCTCTTTATTAATGCTGAGGATTGCATTAACAGAGCGCAGCGACCCGTTACTGTAAATGAAATCCAAGCAGACGCACAGCGATTCAGCCTGTTGGCTGCTGGTGGGCGTGGTCAAGGGATTTCCCCAGCCCACTCCAATCAGCGCGCAGCTCCTGAAGCAGGGCGAGCCAGTCAGCTGTCAGCAGGCGTGGCCGTTCCACTTGACCCCACCCCTCATTCCTCCACCCCTCCCACCCTTCCAGCACGCTGTAAACAGCGCTCGGGCGCTCACTATAAATACCGGCTCGTGCAGAAGCCGCTTTTGGGTTGCTTTTGCGTTTTCCTCCGCGAAGCGCACAGAGAGTTTTCCGCCTTGGTGCTGCTCTGGACTTCTTTATTCTTCTTGTTTGTGGACGTTCAGAGAGGAAGCGACACGTCCACAGGTGCGGGTCCCGCTCATCCGTTCTCGACGCGTGCACAGGACGCAGGTGAGTGTTTCTGGAAAGCAGCATTTGGTGGGTAAACACTGAGGGACGATCGTGCATGTGTAGGCAGGCTGTGCTGAGTTTGGAAGCTGTAACATTTGCATTGCTTCAAAGGCTTCAGCTGAGCGTGCGCGAGCGCGAGCGCGAGCGCGACTCATCTCCAAACGCGCAGAACATCGTGTCTCTCAGCGCGTGCATTGTCTCCAACGCGCATCCATGCGCTCGAACGCAAGGCTGTGTCCACGAGAGTGGCTCCCTTACACGGGCAAATGAAGCAAATACCCCACTGCCACCCCCACCCACCCAAACCTGCATCAGCGGAGGGCAAGATGAGGTAACCCTGGGCACTGCTGGCTAATGCTGTCACCCCTCAGCGCAGAAGGCACACAGTGTTTTGATGTGTGTAGAGGGATGGAGATGGTTTGGCCCTCCAAATTCACTCTTCACCAGATGGACCCTCCTGTGCTGTGATGCTGAAGAACATCTGTTGCTGCATGTTTCATCATGAAGCCCACAGGTAAGACCACAGTTCATCTCATTTCTCTGCGAGATTCGTGTTGTGATAGAGTTTTGTCCCACATGCATGTAGTGCTTTTTGAATCATTAACTGGCCACTTTATGAGAAACACCTGCCTTGTACTTCCACTAACTGGCCACTTTATTAGAAACACCTACCTTGTATGTCCACTACACAGGTGTACGCTCACTCACTGTAGACCATCTGTCATGCACAATTTGCCCGCTGCCCTCTACCTCATTCATCCATGGTCAGTTTCTGACCACTGAGCATTCTGCACAAGCTATTGATGAAGGGCTGGAGGATAGCAGTGCTCCAGCAAGATGGACTTTGAGGTGGGAAAGGTAAGTGTTTCTTATAAAGTGGCCAGGGAGTAAAAGCACAAGGTTGGTGTTTCTATTGAAGCAGTCAGAGGAAGTATAAGGTAGGTGTTTCTAATAAAGTGGCCATTTAATCCAAGTTTTTTTATTAAATGGCCAGTTAGAGGTCAGTTTGGGGTAGCACAAGGTTTGTGTTTCTAATAAAGTGGTCAGTTTGAGGAAGCACAAGGTGGGTGTTTCTAATAAAGTGTCCAGTTAGAGAAAGTACAACGTTGGTGTTTCTAATAAAGAGACCAGTTAGAGAAAGCACAAGCTAGGTGTTTTTAATAAAGTGACCTCTTTCTAATAAAGTGGCCAGTTAATGGAAGCACAAGGTTGGTATTTCTAATAAAGTGGCCAGTTAGGGGAAGCACAAGTTTGGTGTTTCTAATAAAGTGGCCAGTTAGGGGAAGCACAAGGTTGGTGTTTCTAATAAAGTGGCCAGTGAGTGTAGAAGAATATCAAAAATGGCCAAAAATTTAACACATATCTTCCTGAGGAACATCAGTGAGAAGCACTTTCATTATTTGGAAAGTGATGCTTACTGCGTAGTATCGGTCACTGACTGTTCAAGGTCTCCCGACTGTAAGTGGTGCTGATCTTAAGCATCACCACAGTGTGATCTGTGTGAAATGTGCGTTCACTGGTCAGGGCTTTAATCCTGCAGCTGGTCTACAACGCTGATCTCCAGCTACTGACAGCCACGAAAGAAGCTGGCTGCATGTGTGTGCTGCAGGCCGATTTGGCATGCACTGGCTTCACATGCAAAAGAATGCACTTGAACTAGCCTGTTGCATTTGGATCCTCAGCCTTTTTCGTAATCATCGCTGGAGTTGGAGGCTGGCCAGCAGCCCTCAGCTGTTTAGCTCTCTCTGTACTGGCCTGTTTCTTCTCTTACTGAAGCATGGGGATTCTCCAGCAGTGGAGAATGCCTCTGCTGTGCCTGTGGCACACTGGCGTCACTGTGCCAGCATGATAAATCAGCCAAGACATGTTGGATTGTCTGAAGTTTTGCACTGGAGCTACACAGTCAATATAACTAACTAATGGAAGTTTATTGAGCTTAAATCATCGAATCCTTGCCACAAACTGTGTTGAGTTGTGAAGCAGTCTCAACTAGACGTGCTTATGTGGTTTCTGAGACTGTTAAAATGGACAGAAGTGGCTGAAAACAGCAACAGCATCCACCCTGAAACTCTTAGCAGCAGCAGCAGCAGCGGAAGGAAAGCGCATGGCAGCCACATTGCATTGTTCGTTCAAAGCCCATTGGCATTGACTTGGGTTTTTTCTTTTCCCTCCTTTGTTTTGCCGCAGTGAAATTGCAGCGTTCTCATATTGTGGCTTGCACAAACAAGTAGTTCTTCAATCTTGTCCATCAGCCACTAAATGGCTGGTGAAATCACGGAGAGCGGCCACTCTTCAGGCGCTGGTGTCTGGAGACTCTCTCTGACCCTTCGCTGTCAATGAGTTGTTAATTAATGGCGGAGAAGCTGCGAGGCGTCTGCAGAATGAGGGTTTTTAATGAAATTAGTGACATCGTGCACTCAGTGCCCAACTTGTACTTGGTTCTGATGGGGTGCTGGAGTGCACGAGATAAGAAAGCATGTATGTATCTGCTTCAGGGGCTGTTAGAAGGATTGAGGTTCAGTGGAAGTTCACTTAAGACAGAATTCGCTATGTTTAATGCTTTTCAAAGGCCTATTCATGATCCTTATAAGGCACCTGCAGCTCATGATATTCACATGCTGATCATGCATTATGCTGGTCATTGTAAAATACAGTTGGCTAGCACTTGCTCTTAAAGCTACAAGGATTAGCTTTAAAGTTGTTAAATTTGTTAAAATTGCTGTTAAAATTGAAAGAAATAGCATTACTGAGTTAAGAGAAAACACAAAAATATGGTGAGAGCGCGCTGCTGTGAGTCACCCTGTAAAGCCCGAAATAACCATTTAAAGTCAGAGATGTCGGGTCGGGAGTTTTTCTGACTACGTCATACGTTTTTACATGTGAACGTCACACGCACTGCCTTGAAAAGAAGGTCCAGATCAATGTTTAGGTCTCAAATGATCTCAAAATCAACATTATACTGAGGAAGATATGATGACAATAGTAGATAATTCACTCACATCCTCAGAAAACACGCCTTTCACCAAAGTTTGACTGAGTTCTCTTTGAATTCTCTTTCAATCATCAGATTCATCCGCTTGGGGAAGGGGACTAAAGCACAACCCACTTTGCATGCAATTACACATTTTCACCAGAGAGATCTCCGAATCCCCAGATCTTACATAGTGTAGTCTGAGTCAGCATTCTTCCAGGGATGCACAGTACAGACAAAAATTATATCATATATTGTTACGTGTCAACATTGCTAATGATGTTGTTTTTGGATATAAAAAGACATTAATTTGTATAAACCTTTTCGGTAGCACTTCACTTAAACCCTGCTAGCCAACATTGACTTCAACATGTCATATCTGTTGACATATACTATCATGAGTTGTTTATTTTGTTCAGTAATATAACAGTGTGATGTTACCATTAATGATAACTGTCTCAACAGATGCTTTATTGTTTGATGTGTGACAGATTATGTCACATGCTAATTTCTGCTGTCTACTCTAGTTAGCAATCATGACATCTGTCATGACAGGTACCAGTAATGTAACATAAGACTCTTGTGTGAGGGAACAAAATCATAACAGTTCATCACAGCATCTGCAATGGCATATTTATAGCATGGTTATGCCTTTGCTGTGTAGCAGGGTGCTAGTAAAGTGTTACCATAGCAATGTGGACTCCTAAAACTGTATGTACTTTGTTGATAAAGAGGGGCAAAAGTAAATAGCAAAAGCTGAATCTTGGAAGAAAATAGGGCTGCGACAGTAAATGCACTGTAGCAGTGTTATTTGGCACCATTAGTCAATGCTGCTATAGCTAATTAGCCTTACTTAGCAACTGTTTTCTAGCTAAGGCTAAAGCTTTAGCCTCAAGGTTCTCGAGAGCACTCTATGTAAACAAGCATATTATGTTGTGTTTTTGGGCTGATGAAGTAAGTTACACGCTTCATACAGTTCACTGATCAGCCATAACATTATGAACACCTCCTCTTTGTCCCTTGTATTAGCTTCACTGACCATATAGGTCACTCTGTAGTTCTACAGTTACAGACTGTAGTCCATCTGTTTCTCGACATACCTTGTTCACCCTGTCCTTCAATGGTCAGGACCCCCACAGGACCCCCGCAGAGCGGTGGATCATTCTCAGCAGTGACACTGAGGTGTGTTGGTGTGTGTTGCACTGGTGCAAGTGGATCAGACGCAGCAGTGCAGCTGGAGTTTTTAAACACCTCAGTGTCACTGCTGGACTGACAATAGTGGGCAGCGTCCTGTGACCACTGATGAAGGACAGGAGGATGACCAACACAAACTGTGTACCAGCGGATGAGCTGTCATCTCTGACTTTACATCTACAAGGTGGAGCAACAAGGCAGGAGTGTCTAATAGAGTAGACAGTCAGTGGACACAGTGTTTCAAAACTCCAGCAGCACTGCTGTGTCTGATCCACTTGTGCCAGCACAACACACAATATGTGTCACTGTGTCACTGCAGTCCTGGTATTGACCCACATCCCAAATATTACCTGCTCTGTGGGGGTCCTGTGGGGGTCCTGACCATCGTAAAACAGGGTAACAAAGTATGCAGAGAAACAGATGGACTACAGTCTGTAACTGTAGAACTACAAAGTGCTCCTATATGGTAAGGAGAGGTGATAACATGGACAGAGTGTAGAAACAAGTAGGTGGTTCGCTGGCTGAGCTCTGTTCAGGTCTCAGGGCATCATGAGGGCAGGAAACTGTCTGGTCTGAGGCTGAGATGCCATCGTGGCTGAGATTCACTGGGATACAGCCGGACCTCGGGGCCAGTGGTAATTGGTTTATTGTAGGGTGGAAGGGACGTGAGCGCTGGGGTATAATCCTGCTTTTCCTGAGTGAAGGTTATTTTGGGCTGTACATTAAACACCTCTGAGCCAAAATGGCTGGCTTCAGTCTGACCTACTTACAGACAGGTGGAGGCTGACAGATGTCCTGTTACTGCAACCCCCCTTCACCACCACCCCCCCTCCAC